ATATTTCTTGCCACTCCCTTCTGGCCTGCATAGTTTCTGTTGAGAAATCAGCTGACAATCTTATGGGTACTCCCTTGTAGGTAACTAACTGTTTTTCTCTTGCTGCTTTTAAGATTCTCTCTTTGTCTTTTGCTCTTGGCATTTTAATTATGATGTGTCTTGGTGTGGTCCTCTTTGGATTCCTTTTGTTTGGGGTTCTCTGTGCTTCCTGGACTTGTAAGTCTATTTCTTTCACCAGGTAGGGGAAGTTTTCTGTCATTATTTCTTCAAATAGGTTTTCAATATCTTGCTCTCTCTCTTCTTCTGGCACCCCCATAATTCGGATGTTGGTACGCTTGAAGTTGTCCCAGAGGCTCCTTACACTATCTTGATATTTTTGGATTCTTTTTGCTTTTTGCTTTTCTGGTTGGGTGTTTTTTACTTGTTCGTATTTCAAATCTTTGACTTGATTCTTGCGATCCTCTAGTCTGCTGTTGGATCTCTGTATAATATTCTTTATTTCAGTCAGTGTATCCTTAATTTCTAGTTGGTCCTTTTTCATATCCTCAAGGGTCTCACTAGACTTATTGAGGGTCTTACTAAATTTATCAGTGGTTTCTAGAAAATTCTTGAAAAACCTTATAACTGTGGTTTTGAACTCTATATCTAGTAGTTTGCTTTCCTCCATTTCTGTCATTTGTGACCTGTTTCTTTGTCTTCGCATTTTGGCTGCTTTCCTGTGTTGATAGAGTGGCTTTCTGTGCTAGGTGTCCTACAGGGTCCAGTGGCTCAGCCTCCCCAATTACCTGAGGTGGACACTCTTGGTGCACCCCTTTGTGGGCTGTATGCACAGTCTTGTTGTAGTTAAGCCTTGATTTTAGTTGGTATCACTGGGAGGAATTGACCTCCAGGCCAATTGGCTGTGAGAATCAGCTGTATCTATGGTGGGAGGACTTCTGTGCTGGAGACACCCTAATGGGGGAAGACTTGCTTCAGGGGGGCTTTGGTGCTCACTGAGTCTGCCCTCTGAGTGTGTCCCTTATGGATCTGAGGAGTTGTAATCTGGATGGTCCCACTCTGACCACTGGGTACACTGGCACTTGGATCTCTAAGGAGGTGCTAATTTAGCCTCTTTCTGAGGCTACCCAGGAGCTACAGAAAGATCTGCAGATTCCTCTTCTTTGTTTGGGATTTGGAGGTGCTCAGATGAGGCCCAGCTGTGAAGCAATGCAAGCTGCTGTGGGACCTTGGGCCTTCTTTTGGATGTTCTGGGTCTCTCTGACCCAGCTGCAGTTTGTTAGGTAATTTTTGATTGCAAAGGGCCAGGTCATTCATATGCAAAAGCCTCTGTACACAGCTTGGGTGGGGCGGGGTCTCAGGGAATCAACAGGGCGGAGCAAACAGCTATGGCTGATCCTCAGCCCTGCCCTAAGAGGTCCTGGGTCTCAGTGTCCTGAGGTAATTGCTACAAGCACCTCTGAGAGAAAGCTGCCCTCGAGTTCTGCCCGCTGCCAGACAGTCCAGTTTCTCCCTGTATGAGTCTGGGTCCCCAGAGACTCGCCCGGAACTGGAGTCGGGGCCATTGGGAGCTTGAGACTCCCTCCCAATTGAAAAAGACAACAGCGTCCTCAGTTGCCAGCCCTTTCCGCGTGCGCCTCCGTACCTCTGCACTTTACTTCTGCACCTCCTCTGAGTCTCAGTGTGCTTTTCTCTTTCCTTCTAGTTGTAGAATTTCCACTCAGCCAGCCTTCCTGTGGTTCTGGATGATGTCCGTTTTGTCTTTTAGTTGTATTTTTGAAGTGGTAGTGCGAGGCAGCAATTTCCGGTGTTTACCTATGCCGCCATCTTGGTTTCTCTCTTGCTTGTTTTTTTTTAAAAAATATATTTTTATTGATTTCAGAGAGGAAGGGAGAGGGAGAGAGATATATAACCTGGGATGTGCCCTGACCAGGAATGGAACTTTGACCTCCTGGTTCATAGATTGATGTTCAACCACTGAGCTATGCTGGCTGGGCAAGCATGCTTTCTTGTTTCTCTGTGTGGGAAAAGGTATCTTCTCTGTCTTTCCCCTAAGAGTGTACTGTAGTCTTACAGGGTGCTGTCTTCAGGCAGGGCTTGCAGTTCTAAATCCCCACTTTGCTTGGGACCAGCGCCTCATCACCTAACTTAAGAATGGATGAAAACCCACACTCCTAGAGCAGTGATGGCGAACCTTTTGAGCTCGGCATGTCAGCATTTTGAAAAACCCTAACTTAACTCTGGTGCCACGTCACATATAGAAATTTTTTGATATTTGCAACCATAGTAAAACAAAGATTTATGCTTTTGATATGTATTTTATATATTTAAATGCCATTTAACAAAGAAAAATCAACCCCAAAAAATGAGTTCGCGTGTCACCTCTCACACGCGTGTCATAGGTTCGCCATCACTGTCCTAGGGTAACACCTCGTGAGCCATTCCCACCCACACTTCAGTGGCTTATTCCATCACTGCTCCTGTTTTCCATTTCTGGCACCTGTGTCTTTTCCTTTCCTTTTCCTTCCTTTTCCCTCCTCTCCCTCCCTCCTCCCTCCCTCTTCTCCCTTCTCCCTTCTTCTTCTTTTCACAGCTCAGCATTTAGTTAAAGCAATAGTGCTTAAATTCCCTCTAATTTTTAGGTGAGTGCAGCAGGAGGATTTTCAGGGTTCACTGATTTTTCCTCTTGCTGGAGCTGGAGCTGAAATGAAAGTGTCTTCTCTCAAGCTCCTTGGCTGGGAACGTGTCCTCTGCCTGTCCCTTTCCTTTGTCCTCTGCTTATCCCAAGAGCCTTACGTGGCCCTCTCCCCTCCCTCCCTATACTGAGCATCCCCATATACACCTCACTGAGACCCGTGGGTCCCTGGACCCTCGTAACTTTTAACAAGTTGGCAGGACAGAGTGCCGTGAAGGACTTGGGTTGAATCTTTTCTTTTGGTGCCACTTCCTGGCTGAGTTACCTGGAGGCAAGTTACTTGGCCATTCTGAGCCCATTTCGTGTGTAAAGTGAGAGAAGCAGCGCGCCCAGGACTCTGGAGGCAGGCTGTGGATGGGCAGTGAGTGAGGGCCGTGGGCATCGTGGGGTGAGGTCTGTGCTCTGTGGTTACACAGGCGAGGGGTCAGGCATTCAGGCCCACCAGTCCCCGGGCACACGGCCAAGCTCTTCACAGCGACTCCTCAGGGACGATCACAGCAGTGAGTATCCCTGACCGCACACGACAGACAGACCAAGGTACGGAGGCTAGAAGTGGTTGGGGAAACTTGGCCAGTCCTAGTCCAACAGACGACTGCTTTGACCTGAACCTCTTTCTGGGTGGAACACCCTTTACAGGGATAGTCACTGGGCGATCTGAGGCTGTTTTAGAGGTAATTTTTTTTTAAAATTCTCATTTTATTTGACCAACTTATGGGAAGCCTTTTTTTTCCCTTTGAATTCCGGGGATGGGGTATTTTCTGGGTGCCCTCCCCCGTCAGACGTGAGCTGGGACAGGGGTTGGGAAGAACCGGTCGTGGCTGCCCCTCCCCTCCTCCCAAGTAGAGCAAACCCGCCCAGGAGCAAAGACCCTGGGGTTTGCCCAGCAGGTGGGTAAGAGCCTCCTTCCCCCAAGCGGGGTTTTTGCAGAGCCTTTTCCACTTACATGCACCCGCTTCACCCCAAGCCCCAGCCAGAGGCGCTGAGTCCAGGCCCCCCACCGCCCCCGGGGATCCGGGCCTGGGGGGGGGGGGCGGTGAAGCCCCGTCTCTGAGCCCCTGGGCCGGGGGTTGGGCTTCCCGCCTTACAGTGGCGGGCCCCCAGGATGAAGGGCAAGTTTTTTTTGATGGCGAAAGTGTAGACGATGATGAAAAAAGAAGAAGATGGACATTTCCATGGTGATGATGAGCGAGAGGAGCCGGGTGCCCGGCGGAGCCGGTGAACATGACCAGCGCAGCCAGCAGGCAGCCCTGTCCGGGGAGACACCGCCGAGGGCGGGCTCTCAGCGACGCCCTCCCGAGCTTCCCCTCCCTCCGGGCGGGCGGGCGGGCGGGCGAGGACTCACCAAGCTCAGGAACTTGACCTCCGCGTGGCCCATCACCCAGAACTCCTTGTTGCTGTCCTTCAACTCCCACTTG